CAGCAAGAAGGTCTAAAACATTGTGTAGGGAAGCCTCTTCATCTGTGCATAGTCCCTGGAATTCCTGACCATTGAGATATGCATCCCATCCCCGATGCGAGGCATCCATGAAGAGATGACTCTCTGGAGATGTAATGGCAGAGGAACCCATATCTTATTATTGTTCCAATCTAACCATCCCTCGAGATTAAAGAGAATGATCCTGAATAAGGAAACTGGAGAATCCAGTGAATCACTGTTCATGATCCATTAGTTGCATAATGATGATTGAGGGGATCTCTTGTGTGCTTGTCCCAATGGAATGTGGGATTTGAGTGATGCCCACATTCCCCAAAAGAGAAAGAACCATCTGCACAGTGGGAGAAGGAGAGCTGAATAAGAGTTGGACTTCCTGTTCCATAGCTTGGAGCCAGATGGGAGTCGGCTGAGCCCGACCGAGATACATGATGAAAAAGATACCCAGACTGATGATATATTGTGTTGGAAAAGAATGGATGTCTAAGCTCTGATAATGAAGCTTGCCTTGGTTGTTTCTGAAAGCAAAATCCAGGTGTGACATTCTGCCAACTGATGAGATGGTGCCAGCAGTAACCAGACGTTTATGGAATGGTGTGTGCAAAGGCTTAGGGATAGGAGGTGACAAGAAAAAACTGGTACGATTCAGCAGAACATATACATGATGCTGATGCCAGACTGAAAATCAAAACCCTGAACTGCAACAGCTGACCCTTGTGCACAAAATGCAGATAGTGGTGGGATGCCACCACTATGGAAATGTGTAGATAGGAGTCGGTGACATCAAATTTGGAAATCCACAAACCTAGTAAAAAAGTGAACTCAGAGTGAGTCACTTGTGAACCTTGGAGAATCTGGGGATTGATATAGATGAGAAAGATTGATGATTGGATACCAAACTCTTGTCTTTTTGGGCACAACAAACAAATAGGAATAAAACCCTGGAAGAACTGGCATGACTCTCTCCACTGCCCCAGTCCAACAAAACTCTGATAGACAGATAGGTGGCAGAAACACTACAGTTGGGTGACTAATGTTGGTGAAGATGTGAACTAAATAACTAATCCTGACTCAAGGACCTGTAGTGCCCATGGATACATGGTTAAGATTTACCACACATCCAGACATTCTCAAAGCCAAGCCCCCACAAACCTAAAAGACATACAATAGACACAAATGTTGCTGGCAGCATTCCGACCGAGCAGAGGAACCCTTGAATATGGACAGAATCTATTCTGGGGACCAAGAAGCTGATGTCGGGGATTGGAGTCCTCAAATAGGGATGGAACTATAAACCCCTGTAGGAGCCAATGAAAGTCGAGATGCCAACGACAACAGGGATGAATGGAGAAGTCGGCAATTGAACTAATGTGCATGATAACAATGGTTCCAGCTCGTCATCGCTGAAGTTGGTGATCCTGAGAGTCCCCTGAAGGAACACCACTGAACCCGAATATAAATGTCTCTGTCTCACTACAAATAAAGTCACTGACAGTCTCAACTAAGAGCAACTCCCCCCCGATTGTTGAGCAACACTAGATGTGGGATAGGAGAGACTTAATTTGCCTCCATGCTGGAAATAATAATCCCGAAATTCATGCCATATATTTCTGCTTGTCAAACAATTTTTTTTAAATCAAATTCAACTAGGTAACATGAAGAACACTCAAAGTATCTCCAGTGGTTGTAGTACAGAGAAACCCATTAGTGAAAGCTTTTTTCGAGAAAAAATTATAATATTATCCGAATGAGGTGCTTATATACAGTACCAGGAAAGAGGATGTAGTGATGTAGGTGGAGAGTGTCACGTGACAGATATTGCCAAGGGCAATTAAGCGGGGAATAATAGACTGGCGAAAGCGAAAAAATTCAGACCAATGCTTAGATGGGCAAAGGAAGGAAACCCTGGCAGTTGAGTAATAGCTGTAGTATGAGAGGAGGTATGTTTTGGAATTTAATATCTCTTTAAAACTAAAACAGTTCTTTTTTGTGGATATGTTTTCTATTATACTTGATCTGGTTGTGGAATATTTCTATGGTTGTGATAATGATTTGTCAGTGATATTTATAACTGATAAATTTATATCTATGTACAAGTTGTGCAAAAGCATCATTTCTTTAAAGTTTCACCTTTGTCTTGTAACTAATTGCAATAATGGACTAGACCAGTATAAACCTGTACTATTATTTTTGTATGTCAATTTTCTATACAGCATTAGTAAAACTTGAACAAAGTCAGTTCCTATATTATTTAACAAAAACTGCAACAAGCAGTGAGCTTCAGAATGCAACCTCATATCTTCTTAAAAATAGATGAAATTTAGCTAAGATTTAATCGTTAACTGGAGCATGCATTTTGATACATGGCTGAACATGCTACTGTTGAAAACATAGACTGTCAGATTTTTTAAAAAATAATATTATATACATATACACAAGTTCTTCTTTTTGCCAATTGTCGAAATAAATGACTTTTACTTATATTTCTCAATAGAGGATTCTTCTACAATAGGTGTCTGTGACTTGTTAGCGATAAATTCAATGATGAATAAACAGCACACACTTTACTTGTTTTCAAATAATATATATATATATATATATTCGGAACAAGTTAAACGTATGTACAACAAAGTCTTCACAGTATAGAGATCATAAGCATATCATAAACCCTATTTATATATATAGTTTTCTTTTTGTCAAAAGTCCACTTAGGCCTATTCAATTACTTAAGAATTTCAATTGACAAGTCAAGCAATCTTCTCTCTATTTCTATCGTACCAGTATTCTGTGTGTAATTCACTTACAGTTGTGGCTCAAGTTATTGTAATTCGTTTGGTCTTCTTTCTTCTAAAGATCCTCTGTTCCTTTTGTCACAGTCTACTCAGGCTGATTCAAAGTTATATGTTTCACTCTAACATATTAAATGTTAGGCCTATCACATCTACGGTACTTAACTTCACATGACTATATTTTCTTTTGCTATTATCTGTCTGCTGCTTCCCGCTCGTCTCATGCTATTTATATCTTTATTACATAGTCATCTAGCCAGTTTCTATATTTTCGACACCAATTAGTTATCAACAAAATCTTCTACAATCGTGTGTATTTAACTCTTATTATAACAAAACTTAAGACTAATAAAGTATTCACTCACAGATATAAATTAATCACTAATATTTAAACAAAACAGTCTTTTATATCATGACAGACTCACTAAAACCAGACTAAACTCTCATGAAATTCTTGTTTTAAAAATTTCATATAAATGACAGCAACATTAATCTAAATGGAGAAGATACTTTTCTAAAATTAAGAACTTCAGAAAACAAACTTTAAAATATAGGTTTACATACAATAAAGTGAAGGGATTTTCACAAGTTACCTTGATTTCAAAAATCTGAAGTATACAAACTACAGACTTCAAGTAGACATAACATTATATCAATGTTTCTGTTACACACCTAACTACTTCTCAAACAGGATATCAATATATCTGCAATTGGATAATGTTAATTTACTAAACCAATAACACTGTTGAATACTATGTTTATCAAGTATTAAAGTATTTAAAACTATTTAAATCTAATTACTTTATAGAAATATTTAAAAGACTAACTTTTAAACCTAATTCACAATGCTATATTTACTGATGAAATAAGGTGTTATGATGCAGTTCAAATTATATTTTTGCAGCTAAATAAAACCAGTTAGTCCACACTTCCGTATTACACCAGCTATTTACCATTAAGGCAGAATTCACACCATCCCTCCACAATGTATCAAGGGTGCAAAATAAAAATACAAAATTCTGGTCGGACATGTCTGACCAGGTTACCACTTTGGCTGGTTGGCCAATTTTTACTATATATGACAAAATTATAGTTTTCTTTATTTCGTTGCTTTTACTGTATATAAAAAAACAAAACATGTTTTCATAAATAAGTTGAAATAATAAAAATTGTAAAGATGGTTTTTAAATGCAAGGGGTAAAAAATATCATAACATTAACCCCTATCATGACCAGTATGCATGAGTTTTCGAGTGTCATGCACACCAGCATATCAAATTGTAATGTTTTAAACTTATATCCTTCTCACCTTATTATCTTGAGAATATATGACAAAAAATCAGATGACTTAATCCTATCAGACCCACAGATCATCTAGTAGACTTTAGTAAGATCACCTCTAGCCCTTCTTTTCTCAAAAGAAATTATAACGCAGCCCTTCCATGCCCAGAATCATCCTAATAGCCCTCCTGTTAAACCTTTATATTAATGCAGTATCTTTTTTTAAGATAAGGAGACCAAAACAGTACACAGTATTCTGACTGAGGCCTAACTAGTAACTTGCATAATTACCTCTTTCGACTTGTAATCAAGATATCTATAAATATAACCTCAAATTCTATTAGCATTACTACTAGCAATGAAAATTTAGATCAAGCAAGCATCTGCTCTTAAGCTTTATGCAAGATTTCTGTATTCCCTGAGCATATATTAGAACACTAGTATTATCTTTTCACAGATATACTACCCCAGTCAAACTCAAATAATTTAGTTATAGCAGCATACACAACAATACATTAACATTAAATACTCTTTAAAAGAAAATTAGGGTTATAGATCATTTGCAAAGATTGGCAATACTGTCAATAACTTATGTTTCACAAGATGTTTTCTTTATCCAGCAAATGCCTGTTTTACAAAGAGGCATAATCAGCAAAGTATCTAATCTTAATGTTTGTTATCAAGTACAAAGCTACACAATTGTCTATGTGTTCTGTACCTACCACAGGTATCGAAATCTAGATTTTAAAGTTGTAAGCTGTAAGATTTATTGTTGAACCAACAGGGAGTTAAATGAATAAGTTAAAAATATATGAGAAAAATACATAATAATATCATATTCTTAAGAAACTATTTTTAGGACATTCTTATGTTTTCAGTAACATTCTTAAATAAAACAAATCATCTTAATACTTACAAGTTGAATAACTCGTAAGAAACCTAATGGTTCTTTCAGAATCTCCAAATTCATATTTTCCATTATGACCTACAGTAGGAAGAAAAGTACATGTTGATAAAAAAACAAAAAAAAACATACTTGGACAGATTTCTGAACTAAGCAAACTTGCAAGTGATCAAAAGGAAAATTTAAAACTCTGAAATTTTTGTCTTAAAGATAAAAGAAACTATTTTGCACTTCATGAAGACAGAAAAATGGATTTATTGTATGATCTTAATATTTCAATTAATATAAATTTAACAGAATCGCTTAATTCATGATGAAGAGAAAGCTTATCTACTACTGTACATGAATGTTCAATGTTCCTCTGATGTATTTATCGAACATGACTTAATGTCCAACTACTAAAAGCCTTGAAATTATCATTATAGTCAAGGCTAAAATCAGCTATAAGTGGAAGACAACTTAGAGAAAATAAATACTGATGGGGATTCTAAACATCATGTGAATGTTTTTTTTTTACTTAAGCTATACCACCTATAATTTAGTATAACTATATTATTATTATTATTACTAATACTACTACTAGTATTATTAATTAAATTACAGTATTGGTAATAATAGTAATACTACTAGTAGTAACTGTAGTAGCAGTATTAATATTAGTACCAATACTGTGATTTAATTAATAATAACAAGCCTACTACATACAGTATTCTCATTAGTATTACTCACTTAACAGCAACTTAACTACTGTAGCACGAACACTGTAACAGGAACATTGTGTGTATAGCACTCATTAACTAGCATTCCCACTGCAGTTTTATTTATATCTCATTATCTTTATTTTCATATTCTGTGTACATAGCAATCACTGAATCAGTACATAATTAGCATTCCTGCCATAGTTATACATTTGTTTAGAGTACGTAGAAATCAGCACAATATCAAGTAAATCTCGGGTCTTAGATCTGCTTTTCACTTTCTAAGTTTTTGTTGCTTTTCTAAATTTTACTTGCAGATGAAACAAATGAAATTGAAAATTATACACAACCCCAATAATTGGGCTATATAATAATATACTTATAGTTATATAGTATATTATACTTTATAAATTATAGTACTAGTATTACTAGCTTTAACCAACAACACTTCCATCTCCAAATATGATACAGTATTACTATTATGTTGTATATAATAATTAAAATACAAGCTCATACTTTTAAGTAAACGTTAAACTTAAATCATTTTATATGTATGAATAACCCACTACCTGACGATCCGCTCTGCGAAATACTAGATAGCGCGCCCTCTCAAAATGTGCAATAACTGAATAAGATTATTAAATTATGGGACATCACGGGGCCCTTTGGCTCGCTGAGTACGTTCTGATTTCCACCCACTCTTAACAAACTAAAATTTAACGAATTAAATTCATCAACCCTTAGTTTAAACGCCTATAAACCATGGCCTCTAATATTCTAGATGAAAATTTATGACATAGGTTACCATCTTACAGAAAGAATAAAATTGCTTTAACTTATTTTGAACCAAATACAGAGTATATGTGAAAAACAGTGTTGCGAGACTGCAACAAAATTAATCTAATAAAGCTAATAACTAAAACATAAAATCCTTCCAAACTTCGATATATGTATCTGATTCAGTATTACTATTAACGTTGGACGTTAGTACCATTAATTCCTGCAATGGCAGTTGTAGTGATAATTTCACAAGCAAATGGTGTGACCCAGGTAACTCCACTGTGATATATACTGTAGCAAAGGCCACCTATGAGGTATGTGACATCGCAAGCGTACATGTAGCCACAAGAACCACAAATGGGATACATACCACAGCGAATGCCTCCGCTTGAACATCGTCCAAAATGGGAAGAGCAAAGAATTTGTTTTGCTTATTGATTAATGGGACACTGGCAAAGAAACTGCCCATACTTTGCAGCACAACAGAACTCTTGGGCCCAGCTGAAGGATCGTCAGATACCCGCAAACCCCCAAAACCTGCATTTTACTGAGCTGCAAAGTAAGAAAGAGTATCAAAACTGGCCATCAAATCAACAGGCCTGGGTATTTTACATACACTTAACTTAATTAGCCTTAATATATAAACAAATACATAACTCACCGAGTAAACGCGATAATCCTCACTACTAAAACTGAAAAACGTTTTTGACACAACAGCGACTAAACCAATCAATGGTTACTCACTACACCATACTATCACTTCTATATAGTCCTGGAAACTTCTTGATTCTTAACTTTCATGAACTTTCAAACCTTATTGTCATATAGTTTACAACATTATGTATCAAATCTACTGTTACGATAGCGGAAGTCACGTGACGCTGGAAGCATGGACGCTGGAGTTTCTAGAAGGATTATGACTGTTCCTGGCAACTCTTGTCTTTTCTTGACGCCCTCTATTTTAGTATATAAGCCCGGCAAATAAAGCGAAGATATAATTGCAGATAGACAGTAGGCACCGTAAGAAAAGTGTGTGAATCGCTAATTATAGTGTGTGTTTATAAAAGTAGTTAAGTTTAAAGTGACTGTGGAAATTAAGTGTATTACAAAGTTTGTAACGAGAAAAATTAGTTTTAATTAAGAGAGGTCTTGTATAGCTGAAGTTTCTCGGAAAGAATTTCTACCGGATATTATCAAACAAGGAGATTTGCAACAAATTGGTGTCAAAGAGTAGGACCAATAAAAAAAAGAAAATAAAAAAGATGTAAACGAGAAGTCCCAAATCAAACTACGACTTAGTAGATTTGATGGCAGCAACACAAGAAAATCAAAAGAAACAAGAAAAGAGACTAAAGCAGTGGTTGTAGGGAAAAGAAAAGAAACAAAAAGAACGAGAAAAGAAACAAGAAGAGAGAGTACAACAGTTGTTGGAGGAAAAAGAAAAGAAACAAAAAGAGAGGCAACAGTAGTGGGAAGAAAACCTGCAACAGTGGCAGCTCGAACAGGAAAATAAACAAAAGAGATTACAGTAGTTGTTGGAGGAAAAAGAAAAAAGAAGAATGAGAAAAGAAACAAGAAGAGAAACTACAGCAGTGGTTGGAGGAGAAAGAAAATGAACAAGAAGAGAGACTACAGCAGTGCTTGGAGGAGAAAGAAAATAAACAAAAAGAAAGTCTCCAACAGTTGAGAGAAAGCAAGCATACCACAAATGGAAAAGATGGGCAAATTTCAAAGGGAATTGCATACATTAAAGGACTGTTTATTGTCTTTTACACAAGGAGGATATATTAGCCGTGAGCCCAGTCAGCCCCAGACAACAGGAAGCTCCTTCCAGACCCCACAGCTAAACCCTAATGCAGACATCTTCAGTTCTGCCAGAAGTCACATCCCAGACATGAATGTCACCATTAGGGGTGATCTAGTACGAAGGAAGCCACAGGAATTCGATGGGAAGGCACCGTGGGAAGCATATAGAGCACAATTTGAGCTCCTGGCAGAAATGAATGGATGGATGGATAGAGGAGCAGAAAGCAGTGAACTGAGCAATGAGCTTGAAGGGACAACCACTGGATATACTTGAACAGTTGTCAGCAGACGACAGGCACAACAATAGAGCACTGGTAGCGGCTCTATAACTCAGGTATGGAACTCAAAATCAGTCTGAAGTCTACAGAGCTAGGTTAAGGACCAGAGTCCCTGCTAAAGGGGAGAGCCTGCAAGAGCTGGCACAGGACTTGGAAAGTATGGCACACAAGTCCTACCCAACTGGAATGTCCTCAAGTTGTTGCTAAGTGATCAGTTTGCAGATGCCTTGAACAGTCCACAACTGAAGATACAAGTGAAGCAAGCACACCCCTCTACCATGCAGGATGCAATGGCCAGAGCTCTTGAATTCGAATCCTACATTAAGTTCAGCATAGAGGTACCAAGGTTGATACAATCATCAGGATTCAAGGCAACAAAAGGACAGCTTTCATAGAAATTTGAGGGACTTTGCTGGCACTGTAGCAAACCAGGGCACAAGAGAGCTCAATGCTGGCAACTTCAACACAGGGAAGATGCCACGACGGGAAAGACTGCTACCCAAAAAGGTTGTTGGAACTGTGGAGAGCAAGGACATATGAGGAGCCAGTATAAGAAGAATATTACCAATAAGTCAGCTTCGGGAAACCAGTAGTGGTTCGTGTTGAGGAACACCTACCAACCCCTACCGTGAAAGTCCCAACAGCTAGGTGTAAAATGCCAAGCACACACAGTGTTTATGTGACAGGAAAGCTGGATGGCCAAAGGTGCAACTTTGTCATAGATTTTACAATTCAGCCAACCCTTGTGAGTATCAAGATGCTGGATCACAAAGGAATAGCAGAAACCATACAGAAGCTTTCTGGTGTGACAGGACATTATGCAAGGTTGTGGGGATCTGTGTGGGTATCTGTTGAGATCATGGACATAGAGGACAGACACAAAGTATACTTGGCTGACATTGAAGACGAATGCATATTAGAGTTGGACTACTTACTACCGAGGAAGTGTGTAGTTAATTTGGATAAAATGACATTTGGGAACAACAAAGTCCAAATTCTGGTAAGTGTTAAAAGAGAGGTTGAACTAATCAGGTGTTATCAAGCATCTGATTCGGAAAGTAACGTATGAGAGACGATCCACTATGGCATATGGGCCTTCCCATGAAGAAGACAGCTTAGGAGACTTCCCTTTGGTCTTCCTGGGATTATACAACTACACCTTGTCTCCTGGTTCAAGGCTGACTTCAGTAGATCTCTTATCATAAGATAGCTTCATCGAATCAGCAGACGTTTTCAAGTTTGAACGCAC